CAGGAGGCAGCCAATCAATGATTCTCTCTCATCATTGATGTTTCTATCTCCCTCTCCCTCTCCTTTTCTCTCTGAAATCAACCTTTGTTGGCATATGGGACGATGCTCCAATCAACTGAGCCACCGGGCCAGGGCTAAAAAATAAAATATTTTAAAAAACATTGGTGAGACTATGTTTATCCTATATAATAAAACCTTAATATGCAAATCGACAGAACAGTGGAATGACCAGTCACTATGATGTGCACTGACCACCAGGGGGCAGATGCTCAACGCAGGAGCTTCCCCCTGGTGGTCAGTGCCTGGGGGAGTGCTGCTCAGCCAGAAACTGGGCTCACAGCTGGTGAATGCAGCAGCTCACAGCTGGCAAATGCAGCAGCGGTGGTGGTGGGAGCCTCTTCTGCCTCCACTGCAGGCGGGTGGTAAGGAGAGAGGGCTCAGACTGGGCTGAGGGAACCCCTCAGTGCACAAATAAGGAGCGAGGGGTCCCGGATTGCAAGAGGGCTCAGACTGGGCTGAGGGAACCCCACAGTGCACAAAATCTCGTGCACCGGGCCTTTAGTATTATAATAATTGTGGAGATATACATGTATACTTTTTAAAAAAAAGACCCAAATCTGGAACCAAAATTTCATATGATTTCAACTTTGGAAGTGGAACAGGAAGAAGCATGAAGATATGCTAATGGGCCTGAATTGTGCCAGCAGAGGTTCCAGAGACAGAGTAAATCTAGATTCTGATAGTAAGAGTCTGTTCTGAGCCACCTACCTGGAGGCCTCCTGTCCTGATTCCTCCCCACTCCGCTCTGTAGAGGGAACAGGTCCTGAACTGCCGTTTGACTCTTCAGGGTGACCCAAAGGGCCAAACTGGAAACTCTGAGGATCCCCGTCAGGGTCTCCGAGCCTTGGGTGCTTTGTGGGTTTTGGTGGACAAATTCCTTCTCCTGGTTTAGAGAAAAGGAAGACAATGGGGTAGAGGATGCCAGGAGCATGCACTTCCGTGGCTGACAACCAAACCTGGCGAGGCCACTGCGGCAGTGTGAGCAGGCTTGTTCCAAGGGCAGGAAACCACTGCTCTGACACCTGCCTGGAAAGCGAGAGACGGGACGGAACCTTATCCAGGTGGGGCCTGGGAGCTTATGTGGCTACGGGACTCCAAAGCTTTTTACCTGTGGACTGGTCATGATTGAGGCTGAATCCTGAGTTGGCCTGATTTGGCTCTAAACCACAGAAGACAAAACCCAGCTGACTGCTTTTCTGGGGAGGTGGTGAGAGGTGTGTGGTGGCTCCTTTGGTCTCAGCTCAAACAACCCTGCAGAGGGGCCATTCCCTAACTTTTCTATAGAGCATCCCTGTCAGGCCCATGCTGTTTTTGTTGAAATCAAAGCTCTTCTGCAAGAATCAATGTACTGGGTCCTTTCTGTCTTGCCCACTACAACTTGCTCCATGCAAGGAGTGGCCTTGTTTATCTCACTCTCTGCTGAGTCTCAAGTGCCCAGAAGAGCATCTAGTTCACCATCAGTGAACAATAAATACTTGGTAGATGATTGAATAAACATGTAGAAAATACACATCACTTCCCAGGAAACGCAGATACAACTAAATGGTGTACCACTTGCCAAAACCGGTTTGGCTCAGTGGATAGAGCGTCGGCCTGCGGACTAAAAGGTCCCAGGTTCGATTCCGGTCCAGGGCATGTACCTGGGTTGCGGGCACATCCCCGGTGGGGGATGTGCAGGAGGCGGCTGCTCGATGTTTCTCTCTCATCGATGTTTCTGACTCTCTATCTCTCTCCCTTCCTCTCTGTAAAAAATCAATAAAATATATTAAAAATAAATAAATAAATGGTGTACCACTCTAGTTTTCTGTGATGCCTGAAAATATCCACCCTGGGAAAACTTGGACCCAGAGTGATTAAGTACTAAGGAACTGATGTCTCAGCTGCCACTTATTTCCTTGTATCTCTGCAATACCTTCTCCGTCACTGAGAGCAATTTAGAGCCTAAAGGCACTTTTAAAAATATATAGATTTTATTAATTTTCACAGAGAGGAAGGGAGAGGGATAGAGAGAAACATTGATGAGACAGAAACATCGATTAGCTGCCTCCTGCATGCCCCCTACTGGGGATTGAGCCCACAACCAAGGTACATGCCCTTGACTGGAATCGAAACTGGGATCCTTCAGTCCACGGGCCAATGCTCTATCCACTGAGCTAAACCGGTTAGGGCCTAGAGGTATTTATTAACATCTCTTTGTTGGATAAAGGAAACTCCCTTACACATGAACCGCCAATTGTTGCTGGTTTGTGAAATGTCCCCAAATCTGGGCTCAACTGAATCATTTATTTAATGAACAAATAATAAGGTTTGACTCTGGTGAGCTCCAGGCCAGACACTGTCCTAAGAACTTGGGTATGTTATGATAAAACTTCAAGGTAGGTTCCTGTTGTTATGCCCATTTTACACATGAGAAAGCATAGGTACAGAAGGCCCAGGAATCCAGAACGGGATCCAGGCATCCGACTCCAAAGTCTGCACACCTAAGTGTACTTCGGCATTTATTGAGTGCCTACTATGTACCGTGCTTTTGACCAGGCAGTGAAGACAAAAGGACAAACCAGACATAGGCCTGATCTTCCTGGAGTTCAGTCACGTAGACCCTTTCCAACCTCAGCTCCTTACACCCACTGACATTAACCCATTGAATCAGGCCCCCCTTTCTCCCAATGCCAATTGCTAGGGTCCACCTCAGCATTCATTCAACTGTGTGCACTCCACTAGACCACAGCAACTTTCCTATAATTTCTTCTAATTCTGTTATGGTTCGTGTGTGCCCATTCAGAACTATAACCCACTGCTACGTATTTGATTAGCTCTCTCAAAGAAAAATGAGAAGCATTTTTCTTTTTTTTCTTGACTTGACCTTGAAGGTGTGGAGGGGAGGCACTAAGTCTGCTGTACCTTTTGATCTCATGCTTGATCTGCCTCTTCTCAGTGCCCACCCCAATGCTGCACCCAGAGCAACGCTCCAATGAGTTTCTTACACAAACATATTCCTACCTTGTGGTCTGCCAGAAAACACAAAATACAGCAGCTTCATTTATTTGGTTTTTTTTAAAGATGCCCAAACACTAGCTTTCTTTGCTAATCTAATGGACATTTATAGCAAATAAGAAGCAAAAATATCAACAGAAGTGAAGAGCCTCTCATTTCCTTCCTGTGATCTGTTCCCACAGGACTAATGTACGAAAAAACTAAGGCAGAACCTTGTTTTCAACACCAAAGGCCAAAAAGATGTTGGAAGGGAAAGGGCTTCTTTCACCAGCTGCCAGAACTGTCTTCCTCTCTCCCCACCCCATCCAAGGCACACAGAAACAGCTGGGCCAGCCCCGGGGTTCATTGAGCTGGGGGTCCACAGCCAAGAGAGGCCCCAGATGACTTGCTGTGGGTGGGCTTGGCTGCCCCCAGCTTCCCCCGCTGAGGTCAGAGAAATTCTCATGTCCCAAGCAGCCTATTGCTCATCTCTACACAAAATATTTCAATCTGTTGATAATTTATTTTCGGTCCCACATTTTGAGGGGGGAAAAAAATGAATGCTACTCCCTAACTTCATTAAGCACTAAGTAAAGAAGTTATTGCTAAACTTTTAAGAAATTTGAGTTACCTTAGACAATAGACAGGGAAATCAAACTATGCTATGTAATACTTGTGTTTCTTTTCTAATGAGGAAATTTTATATGTATATGGACAAGTGAAGATGGTCCCAATATACCATGAAGTAAAAAACAAAGGTTGGCCCTAACCGGTTTGGCTCAGTGGATAGAGCATCGGCCTGTGGACTGAAGGGTCCCAGGTTCGATTCCGGTCAAGGGCATGTACCTTGGTTGCGGGCACATCCCCAGTTGGGGGCGTGCAGGAGGCAGCTGATCAATGTTTCTCTCTCATCAATGTTTCTAACTCTCTATTCCTCTCCCTTCCTCTCTGTTAAAAAAATCAATAAAATATATATTTTTAAAAAGGTTGCATATCAATGTGCGATGACACTATTTATATATATAAAAGCCTAATATTTTAAGTGTCTGACCATTTGACTGTTCTACCAGTCACTATGACATGCACTGACCACCAGGGGCAGACACTCCAATAGGTAGGTTAGCTTGCTGCTGGGGTCCAGTTGATCAGGACTGGGCAAGATGGGCTGGACATGCCCTGGAGCCCTCCTGTGGTCCCTCTCCAGCCTCTAAAATATTTCTTCTAACTAATTTCCTTTCAATGTGTATGAATCCGTGCACTGGGCCTCTAGTTTCCCAATAAAAACACTGTATTTTTGTATGTGAAGGAAAAGCTTGGAAGAAGTAGTGTACTCAGGTTCATTTCCTGTTTTTGTTTTTGCTTTTTTAATGTTTTAAATTTTTATTGACTTCAGAGAGGAAGGGAGAGGGAGACAGAAACATCAATGATGAGAGAGAATCATTGATTAGCTGCCTTCTGCATGCTCCACAGTGGGGATTGAGCCCACAACCTGGGCATGTGTCCTTGACTGGAATCGAACCGGGGACCCTTCAGTCTGCAGGCTGATGCTCTATCCACTGAGCAAAACCGGCTAGGGCCTGTTTGTTGTTGTTTTTTACATCCTTACCTAAGGATATATGTTTTTGATTTTTAGAGAGAGAGAGGAAGGGGGAGGGGGAGAGAGAAAGAGAGAGAGAGAAACATTGGTTGCATCTTGTACCAGCCCAGTTTGATCTGGGGATTAAACCACAACCAGGATTTGAACCCTAAACTTTTTGGTATAGGGGACAACACTCCTATCAACTGAGTTACCTGGCCAGGACATTTCCTATTTTTATTTTTGTTTGTTTGTTTTTTAAATGCTGTACTATATGATTGATCCTTGGCCTGTGGTTTTGCTGGATGTTAACATAAGGGAATAAAGTCTGAAAGGACAATCATAATAGTAGCATATATTTGCGTACTATCTAGGGTCTCTTCTTGGTCCATGACAAACAGTAATCCAGCCCTGGCCGGTGTGGCTCGGTGGATACAGCATCGGCCCTGGCACTGAAGGGTGGTAGGTTCAATTCCCGTCAAGGACAGTACTTGGCTCTATCCAGGTTTGATCCCCAGCCCAGTCAGGGGCAGGTGTGGGAGGCAACCAAGCAATGTGCCCCTCTCACATCAGTGTTTCTCCCCCCTCCCTCTGCTCTCTAAAAATCAATGGAAAAAAATATCCTAAGGATATTTTGTAAGAATAACAAAACAAAACAACAAATATTATACTAATCCACATCTGAGCTCTCGGGCAGGGTTCTCTACCTTAGCACCACTGACATCTGAGGTTGGATCACTCTGTGTCGTGAGGGCTGTCCTGCACATCCTATGACTTTGAGCAGCATCCTGGCCTAGACCCACTAAATGCCAGGACCACCCCTCCCACACACACCAACTGTGAAAACCCAAAATGTCTCTAGACATCGCCAACTTCCTCTGCAGGGCAAATGCCTCCCCCCACCAGGCAGAGAATCACTGTTCTAAAGAAAAGGAGAGGCGCTCTATGACCCCGTTTGCAGAAGGGGGAAAGTGAGGCATGCAGCACGTCACCTGCCCCACGGAGCAGCAGAGTGGGGCAGGACGCAGGTTTTTGGTCTGACTGCGAAGCACGTAGCCACACACCAGAGGGCCTTGCAACACGGCACGCTCCATTCAGGACCAGTCTCTGGTGTGGGCTTGCATGGGGGTTGCACCCCTGCCACAAACCCGGGGCCCTGCCCCCTCTCCCGGCTGTAGAACCCGCCAGAGGCTGGAGGAAGCCCACAAAGCTTTCACTTTCTACGGGAGGCATTCTTCCATCATTTATACTTTTTTTTACCAGCAGGTATTAAATTATTTTTTTTAAAGGAGCTTGGTGTGGTCACTTCAGCATTTCCACAATTAATAAGCCCAAATTCCTACGAAGCGCAGAAACGGCCATAAAGAGATCAACTTGAATATCCAGCTACCTGAGGTCCGCAGCTTCTTCCGCTTACTCATGTTATCCCTCCCTGAGAAACCTGAAAATGAGCAAAATTCCATCGTTACAAGCAGTCCCTGCCCCCCATGCAGACCCAGGGCCGTGGGCTGAGGGGAGAAGCCACCCCGTCTCCCACCTTGGCCCGCGGGCCGCCCTGAGGGGTCAGTTGGGCCCCAGAGGACGCAGGTGGGAGTCGCAGCAGCCCCGGGCCAGGCCTGGCTGGGAGGAGCTCAAACCTCCTGAGGAGGGAGCTGCCCGGCTGCCCAGGGTCAGGCGCGCCCAGAGGGACCCGGAGGGGGCGGTGGGAAGTCTCGGACAGCCTGTGCGCCACTCCTCCCTCCGGGCTGGGGGTCTCCGGAACCTTCTAGAGGAGCGGTTCTCAACCTGTGGGTCGGGACCCCTTTGGCGGTCCAACGACCCTTTCACAGGGGTCGCCTAAGACCATCCTGCATATCAGATATTTACATTACGCTTCATAACAGTAGCAACATTACAGTTATGAAGTAGCAACGAAAATGATTTTATGGTTGGGTCACAACATGAGGATCTGTATTTAAAGGGCTGTATTAAGAATCTAGAGACACGCGAGGGCTTTGGGGGGACCCTGGGAGTCCTTCAGAGTCACCAGGTGACTTCAGAGGGGCCTTCGGGGGCGCTTCAAGGGCTGGACGTGGGGCCTTTGGGGAGGGGGGGCGTTGGGCCTTGAGGGGACGGGAGCGACCACAGGGCAATTCCACCCTCAGGGACTGACCAGCCCAAACTGACCTGGGCCAGAGAAGTTGTTGAGAAACCTCTGTCCTTTTCAGGCACTGGGAAGGTCTGCCTGGAGCGGGTGGGGGACACCTAGGTTATGTTATATGCGTGAAATATTCTGGAGAAAATGAAAGATAATCTGGTCCCTCTCAGAGGCCCTCCGGGAGGGTCTGGAACTGAAGGGCCAGGAGGCCTGAGGCCCGAGCTTGTGGAATGGCTTCTGGCAACTAGACCCACACTAACCCTACCGCGGCCACCGAAATGTGAGGAACGCCCAGACCCAGACCGCCGCGCGGGACGAAGCGAAGCCTGCGGCCACGGCCACCCCACACGCCTGAGCGCGCTCTACTTCTTTCCCGCGCACGGCGAGGCCCAGTCCCGCGCATGCGCGGCGCCAG